CCCTTACTGACACCTTACCAACCACTTACTGACACCTTACCAACCACTGACTGATACCTTTCCAACCACTCACTCACACATTTCCAAGCACTCACCGACACCTACATACTACTCACTTTATCATCATAGTTTTATAGGCGAGGAGTCAGTTGCTGCTGGAGAAAAATGTGTTTTTACTGACAATCCAACTTGGATTATTGATCCCATAGATGGTACAACTAATTTTATACACAGGTATACAGTCTTATTAACATGCGTTACATAGTCTACAAATACTTGTTTAGTGGCTGGGATTATTAATAATTCACTAAAACATTGTTATTTCATTCAGCATTTTTATGATCATTTAGCAATTATTCGCCGAAGGCAAAGTGAATATCGGGGAATTTTACCGAGATGCGAGTCTCCGAGCTGCAAGGTAAATATTCTCCATACTCACTGAGCCCGAGGCGAAATTGTTTTAGCATATACCAGCTTGTGTACAGAGTAACATATTTTTATATACAATAATTCAATAAAAACAAACAAACAGAAACTTTTAGTTTGCGTGGCAAATTCACGCAAAACTTTTAGCAAACCTTTTAGGCCATACTTTGTTGCCTTTTAGTATTGATAGAGATGGCATTTACTTTCATTTTTTCAATTTTTTGCCGGCAGATGCCATTTTTGTCGCCGACTCAATATTTTGAGATACAGAGGTGAATATTGTACAATATTCACCTCCAATTAACCAATGAGCGCGCACGTTCTTAGGAAGTACACAAGTTGGTATATGCTAATTCCATATAGTCTATTTTTTATTTTCCCATATTTACTTTGGAACTCTCTACCTGATGAAACCAATAATCATTGACTCTCAAGAACAATTGAAATACTTAAAAACATTTTGTTTTTATCTTTTATTTTTCGCATATATATACTGTTTTTCTCATTTATTTTTCTCAATTTCATAAATACCAGTACCTATAAAGCCATCTTTTAATTTTAGGTATCCATATTTTGCCGTTAGCATTGGACTTGCAATAAATAAAGAGGTAATCATCATTATCAATTATCAAGCATTAAATCATTTCATTTGATATCAGTATTAATAATAATGGTTTTCTTCGAACAAGTGGAGACATTTGAACCGTGTTCAAACATTATCTTTTTCAGGCAATTTTTTCCTGAACTTTATACTGTTTTAAATCTCTAAAATGAAACATTGAGTTCAAATTATAATACATTGAGTGTTAATCAAAGYATTACAATACATTGAGTGATCAAATAAATCTTATTTTCAATCCATTAACTCAAGGGATGATTTACAGTATGAATTTTTAAAAGTTATACAAATTCAAAGAGTTTCACTGTTCAAGTGTCCTCATTATGAGTGCTTATTTATTAAAATCAAAATTTTTAGTTAATGTGCATTTTGTCTTTTTAGTTAGCAGTGGGTGTCGTTTATAATGTTGCCATGAATGAACTGTATACAGCTGTAAAAGGAAAAGGAGCTTTCCTGAATGGAAAGAAAATTCAAACAACTAAAGAAAAAGGTAGGGCTATGTTTTATTTTTGATCTGAAAATTGATTTGCGTTCGATTTATGATATTTTCCCCATGAGGGCAGGGACACCACAACAGCATAGCCAATTACAGTGGGCCCTGTTTAGCATGGGCACTTACTAGCACAGGCATGGGTGTTTACATGGTACCAGACAAATTTTTAACTGGTCAAAAATTTGACCTGAACATACCATTAACATGGGACCCTCTCTCCTTAATTGTAGAAAAAATTGTGTTTACGCGGAACTGATCCAAATTTGCATGACAATGCTTATGAAGTTTGGATAACTTTGTCCCATGTGAGCAGAACCCTAAACATAGAATTTTTTGACACGTTAAACATTTGTCTGGTACTGTGTAAACACAGCCTTAGCCTTCTATCAAAAAGTTCTTAGGGTTGTCACATAATGCTCCACTTCCCACGACTGCACGATGTACATGGGTGACATTGCATGACAATCCTTGGAGATCTGTGTAAAAAAGGGACGGTGGAGTACATTAATCTTTTTCCTTGTATAGCACAATACTAGAATCTTTTTTTTTGTCGCATGGAACTCTAACTAAGACAAAATAAGATTCCATCCCTGACTCTGCTGTCCATGTAAAATATTGCCAGTATGCAAATAGCCTTTTATTTTGTTTAAAAGAAATTGGCAAGGCCTTAGTTATTACTGAGTTGGGATCAAACCGTGAAAAGACCAGGCTTGACATTTTAATGAGAAACTACCGTAGATTAGCAGAAGAGCCAAACGCAGTACATAGGTGAGTAAAGTTTATTTTTTAATTTCTAGAGATTAAGAAATCCTTGATCCTTGCTGGGGTGCCCTATGCAAGAGATGTTAAGACACTGTCAAGTGTGTTTGGGACAATGCAAAGATTAGCTGAATTAGGTTGTGACAGGTAGGAAAATAACATGAATTTGGACCTTTTTCAGTAGGGTGTTGTAGGTTGTCGGTAGGTGGTCAGTGGGATGTTGGTAGGTGGTAGGTGGTCAGTAGGGTGTTGGTAGGTGGTCAGTAGGGTGTTGGTAGGTGGTCAGTAGGGTGTTGGTAGGTGGTCAGTAGGGTGTTGGTAGGTGGTAAGTAGGGTGTTGGTAGGTGGTCAGTAGGGTGTTGGTAGGTGGTCAGTAGGGTGTTGGTAGGTGGTCAGTAGGGTGTTGGTGAGTAGTCAGTAGGGTGTTTGTAGGTGGTAAGTAGGGTGTTGTTAGGTGGTCAGTAGGGTGTTGGTAGGTGGTCAGTGGGTGATCAGTAGGGTGTWGGTAGGTGGTCAGTAGGGTAGTAGTAGGGGAACAATAGGGTGTTGGTAGGTAGTCAGTAGGTGGTCAGTAGGGTGTTGGTAGGGGGTCAGTAGGGTGTTGGTAGGTGGTCAGTAGGGTGTTGGTAGGGGGTCAGTAGGGTGTTGGTAGGTGGTCAGTAGGGTGTTGGTAGGTGGTCAGTAGGGTGTTGGTAGGTGGTCAGTAGAGTGTTGGTAGGTGGTCAGTAGGGTGTTGGTGGGTGGTCAGTAGGGTGTTGGTAGGTGGTCAGTAGGGTGTTGGTGGGTGGTCAGTAGGGTGTTGGTAGGTGGTCAGTAGGGTGTTGGTAGGGGGTCAGTAGAGTGTTGGTGGGTGATCAGTAGGGTGTTGGTAGGTGGTCAGTAGAGTGTTGGTAGGTTGTCAGTAGGGTGTTGGTAGGGGGTCAGTAGAGTGTTGGTAGGTGGGCAGTAGAGTGTTTGTAGTTGTCACTGCACACAGAATTTCTTTTCTATGTACTAAGTTTGGTTTATTTTCTCAGGATGAGTTTTCACAATTACTAAACAATTTTATGCTCTGTGAAGTTTCTACATCCTACAATTGAATGTGATAGAACTTTTGCAATGGCCACACTTGTGTTGTGGAACAATCTGACCGATGAGATAAAACATGCTCTTTTATTTTATTTTAACAYGACTTTTATTTTCACTTCAAACTTTTCTGTTTACCAGCAATGAGTAACTACTCTCCTATTATAAAAGGCATTAAAGCAATAGACCCTTTGCATGTTATGTCAAAACAGCTCAATTTGGAGAACAAAACAAAATAATTTTAATCTCATGAGATTTGGAAACAGGTATTTTTATATCCTACAAATTGAGTTGCATTCCAACATGCTGCAATGGGTCTATTGTATGATGCATTCAAAAGAAATGCTTTATTATTAGCAAATTGATTGCTGCAGTAGATAAACCTTGGAATCATTTGTTTTAGAATGCATATTTTTTTCATAGTATTCGTTTACAAGGGTCGGCAGCTTGCAACATTTGCACTGTAGCAAATGGGGTTGCTGATGCTTATTATGAATTTGGAATCCACTGTTGGGACATCGCAGCAGGCATTTTGATCTTGACAGAAGCTGGGGGTGTGGCCACTAACCTTGAAGGTAAGAATTGTTTATTGTTAGAAATTATCTAATGTATTTACCTGGTTTCATATGCGCTGTTACTTTGGGGACAGTGTTTCTTCAGGGCAGCGCTTAAAAAAAGTGTTTACCATATAAATAATACCTAACCAATGATTTAATACAAAGTGAATACAAATATTTAAAAAATACAAAATACAGATGTTTTTTTGTATTGATAAAAGCGGCACTTATTTGAGGGCGGTGTTTAATCGGGGGCGGCAGTTAATCAAGTAAACACGGTATGCCTCCCATTTCTATAAAAAGTGCTATTCTACGTTAAACATAGCATTTCATCTAAAGGCCCCAGTATCTTTCAGATGAGGATTTTGTTTTATTCAGTCCTGTAGAATAACTCAATTATCAGCTATTCTGCTAATTCTAGTTTTTCATCTCACTAAACAAAAGCATTTCCTCAAAGATTAAGAAAAGAAAACTTAATTTAGGCAAGTGTACTCTGTATCTTTAGATAAGTCTAARGGACATTGTTAATTAGATTTTAAGAAATATAGGACAACAACCTTTAASCCAGACAATTTTCAGCAGTTTGTACTGCCATCTTCACTTGCAAAGGAACACTACACTTTTAAATACTATATATATAGTGGCCAAATATGTCTTGCTTTAAGGTTGTCCTATTTCTTGAAGTCTATTCAAGTTTACTGCTATCCAGACTCATTGGTAACATTGATAATTCATTTGAAGGTGGTCCTTGCGACATCATGTCCAGGTTTGTCATGGCTGCAAGTACAAAAGAACTGGCTAGTGCTGTTTGTCAGCAATTGGAACGTATAGACTGTCCCTCAGATTAACAATGTACACTACACAGGTAGCCCACTAGGTAACAGTGACAACACATAGAACATGTAGACTATCCCTTAGATTAACAATGTACACTACACAGGTAGCCCATTCCCTAGGTAACAGTGACAACACATTGAACATGTAGACTATCCCTTAGATTAACAATGTACACTACACAGGTAGCCCATTCCCTAGGTAACAGTGACAACATATAGAACATGTAGACTACCCCTCAGATAAACACTGAACACTACACAGGTAGCCCACTAGGTAACAGTGACAACACATCTGTACACTACACAGGTAGCCCACTAGGTAACAGTGACAACACATCTGTACACTNTGTACACTACACAGGTAGCCCACTAGGTAACAGTGACAACACATCTGTACACTACACAGGTAGCCCACTAGGTAACAGTGACAACACATCTGTACTCTACACAGGTAGCCCATTCCCTAGGTAACAGTGACAACACGTCTGTACACTACACAGGTAGCCCACTAGGTAATAGTGACAACACATAGAACATGTAGACTATCCCCCAGATTAACACTGAACACTACACAGGTAGCCCATTTCCAAATGATATCTCTCTAAGTACTATAATTTATAAACATTACCTTATTTTTTAAAATTAATAGTCAACAGTTTTGCAAATGTATAATAATAATATTCATAATATTAATATCTTATTATTATAAACAAAAATAAAATATGAAGKTATTATGTGAAATTGGTTTCTGGATTCATACATTTTGAATTTCTCAATAATAAGTTTCCTAAATTCAGTGAAATTCATTCATTTTTTCAAAAGCAAATCTTCATATTAGCATTATTTGACAACATTGTTTAGATGGTGTTTTTCTGTGCTAATAAATTCTGACTTGACAAATTGACCAGACAGTTTTTCATGTGACTTGACGGTAAATAATTGCGAGACAAGTTGTAAGGAATAGTTCCTAGTGTAACCACCCCCCCCCCACCTTACAAGTGTTTTGTCACATTTATTGCTTTGCTGTGATTTGTTGAATATTAGATAATCTTCATTGTGATTAATTGTTTCTCCAATAAACCTTTCCCAAATTCACTTGWATGACCATAAAACAATGGTCTTAAGTCAAGACTGAACTTGATTCTTTTATCAAGGGCRCCAGGACAGACGGATTGGGTTTTAAATATGTGTGATTGTTTCAGTTATTCGTTGATTTCTAATGAATTGATATATGTTTGTTTCTAAATGGATACTAAATAGTGTTCACTTATCTTTCCATCCAACGGTCTTTCTGGTTTGAATCAGCCGTACAATATGAATATATTTACCACGTCCACCAACGGTCTTTTTGGTTTGAATCAGCCGTACGCTCTGAGCATTTACCAAGCAGAGCCGGCGTCGCTTCGYTAGTGATTACTCTCCTTTATAAATTTGATTAACTTATTAAAGAAGAGTAATCGCTAACGAAGCGACGCCGGAGCTGCTTGACATGGATAGTGCAGCGGTAAATATTCAAATTGTACGGCTGATTCAAACCAGAAAGACCGCTGGTTGGAAAGGCGTCCTGGCGCCCTTGCTTTTATTCATCAACTTCAAACTATTGTTTCGTGATCATTCAAGCGAAAGGTCTATTTACTTAATTTTCATCCATTTTCTCAAAAAAAGCTCCAAGCACTGAGAATCTTTTCTGGAAAGGTCTTGCCTTGCAAGTGTGTTTCCCAGTGAGAACACTGTTTTGTTTAATCTGTTTATTGTCTATTCCAGTTGCGGCACTGCTTAATAAAACATCTTCTTGTATTTGAGTCTGTTGTAGAGGGGTGCAACAATGAATCGCACCGATATCAATAGGATGAGCTTCCGTATTAAAAATATATCCCGCTGCTCCAGCCGTACATGAAGGAGACAGGGTTGCTTTAGTTTGATAGTTTGAGTCTCTTGTGCCATTGCTGTGGTGAATGAAGTTATATTCATCAAACAATAGATAAAGATATTTTGTTGTTTCTGCTAAAAAGAATGATTCCATTCTGTCTTCTTTTTCGTGTGTTTTGACATTCTTGATCTGCAAAAAAATGTATATGATCAGCACTTTTTGGTGCTGGTGTACAGTAGCATTAAGAGTGATAAAAAATGTTTAAAAAAATCGAAAAAATAAAAAACTGCACATTTTGTAAGGGTAACTAGAATAAATATTACACATAGTAATAATTTTCATCTGGGCCCTTTTAGATCCAATAATTAGAATTTAGAAGTTGATTTTTGAGGAGGGAAAAAAGCCAGATAACCTGGAAAAAACCCTCAAAGCACAGGAGAGAACCAACAAACAACTCAACTCACATACGACGAGTCTGAGGATCGAACCTGGATCTCATTGGTGAGAGACGAGTGCTCTCACCACTACGCCACCCATGCTTCTTTGCACCATGATACCTTGCACTACTTGAACCATACATGTTAACCTTCAAATTTATTGATACTTTAAGACCACAGACCACAGTCTTTTGGCTGATTAAAGTCAGGGCACAGCTATCTCGCTAGTCTCCCTCGCATCCGTTTTTAGTGTTGGTCGTCACGCAACGCTCCCTCCTTGCGTGACGACCAACACTAAAAACGGATGCAAGGGAGACTACTATCTCACAGATTGGATTGAAGTTTAGCATGTTTCGGTCTATGGAGGGAGGAAAACCAGGGAATCCAGAGAGGAAAACCATGGAATCAAGGGTCTCTCCCTTGATTCTAACAAACTCTACTCRCATGTTCTAGGAAAACCCTACACCCCAAATGTGAGAGTTTATTGAGTGCACTACCATTAGAACACCCTTGATTCCCCAAATTAGCCATTCCTGAATATGGAAATTATCAAACTTACTTGAATGCTTTTTATAAATAATAATAATAATAATCATTATTATTAGTCATTCTGAGGTTGAGGAAAAGAGCTAGGCCGAATTGGCATTGCAGAGCATTGCAGGTTTTTTTTAGGTGACATATTTCCAATTTTCCATGGCAACTACGTCCCCTACAACAGCCCCAAAGTGCACCAATCTGATCATTACAAGACTAGTGATCCTGCAGCTAGTTTATCAATACTCACGGTGGCATATCCACATGGAGTCTTTGCACTGTTCTCTATTGATTCCCACACATCTCTCCCAATCTCTAGAAAATATGAATCTTTGGTGGCTTGATATAAATACATAGCACTTTCAATTAATTCTGGAACAAAAAGTATTTTATTTTTTAAAATTTTATAATATAATGTTTGGTTTTCAAAGTGTTATAGTATTGCAATGTTTATATCTTCAAAAACAAAACAAAAATAAAAAATGGATAGAAAAAGAATATCCTGATCAACTTTTGCCATACAGTAAGGTCAAGGATCAAGGAATCTGGTAAAGRGGGAAAGGAGTAAATATTTGGCATTAGACAAATCTTAGACAAATAATCTTATCTCTGATTATGCAAAATCAAGCAGAGAAGGCCTGGGGGCATGCTCCCAAGGAAATAATTACTGGTAAAACATGGTTTCCAGAAATGCTATTTTCTGTATTATGGGGATATTTGGACAAGAAAAAATATTTTAAAAAAAGAATCCTAATCAGACTAAAAGAGGGGGCTGTGGCCCCATGATTTTGGCCCCACCAGACCCCCTATATTCATCCATGTAAGATGCTGGTAGGTGGTCCGCTGTTCATTTACTGACACAGCATACCGTACAGATGATCACAATAGCCAATGAAAAGACAGATCTACAGAAATCTTGGGATTAAGAAATTGAATTAGCGGAGGGGAGGGTATGGTGTACATTACCTGGCCTAAGTGGATACGATTCCCTTCCAGAAAAAGGTTCACCATTAGCAATCTGATAAAACTCTGGAATAAACCCAAAATGTTTCCAGACACTGTGGTACTTTTGTATGGTCCGCGATGCAGCTCCTACATCTCCCCACAGAACCTGAAAAAATGTATACCAAAAGATTCATGAAATATATAACTGCAGTTATAAATTGTTATTTATGGACAATTGTTGGCAAGTGCTTTATGAGAACACAGTGTGTGTGGGAAATTGCCAGAATGTGAGAAGTGTGAAACATAGCTCAGTGCTTCTAAACACTGTTGTTTGGGCTACCTGCGTTTTAACATAGAAAGCCCAAGCACCTGTTTGTTCCAACAATGGAATATTAAATTCTGTTCACTTACTGACACCTTGCTGTATGGCAAAGGCAAAGATCCGYCCTTGTCTTACAACCATTCACTGAAACCTTACTGTACGGCAAAGTCAAAGATCTGCCCTTGTCTTACAACCACTTACTGACACCTTGCTGTACAGCAAAGGCAAAGATCTGCCCTAGTATTACAACCACTTACTGACATCTTACTGTACAGCAAAGATTGATTACGATATCCTCTTCATTTACTTTTTTTAAGAAGCTACTTTTATGTTTTTACCTGTAATCCAGGCCAAAATGCTTCTAATGACTGGAATACCGGCATAGTAATTTGACCTTTGTTCATGTTGGCCCAAACGTACCAGTCACTATGTTTTAGATACTTCTGGATTTTCCCATAAAATTCTGTTGAATAAAAAAGTAACATATTTCATAAATAAGGCACCTAACTTTATGATGTAATTGTATCGAAGTGACCAGTACTACATTCCCATGCCTTCTTATTGAATACTCCATTTTACAGTTCCATTCAGTGACCACAAATAATAGTTCCTACCGTGCATGATGAACTGTAGTTTTGCTATGTGCGGAAACTCCAGCCTCGGCTAGGAACTATTATCCGTGGTCATGTTGGCATCCAATAATTCAAGATGGCCACTGTATCTGTTATAGGGTCTATAATTTAGCTTTTTAGATTTCAAATGGCATAAGTGTTCAAAACGAGTGTGGTTTTGACTCTGAGGTCTCATTAAGTTTGATTCCTGGACTCCACATCACATGTGTTAGAGTTAGTTAGGTCTCTTCCCTTATTCAAGGTTTTTTCTCTGCATTTCTGACTTTCTTGCCTCTATAAACCTAACAAGCTAAATTCCAACTCACTTTCCTGTCAGTTATTTCAGGGTATTGATAAAACTTAAATGTTTGAAGAGAAAAATGCATGGACCTCCTGCTTTGCTGGGGCAACACACTTCTTCCAACAGAGCCACCTTTGATCCTATACATGTATGAAGTAAATTGGCCAATAATTTGTATTAATACACATACCTTCAAACATACTAATGAGCTTCGGCATGCCTAGTAAAATGCCTCCCTTCAGAAGATACTCATAATATGAATCAACACCTGCGCCTATCCCAGCATCCACTGCTGTCCACTTGCCAGTGACTACATCGATATGATTACCAACCTATTAGTGGAGAAGATGCTGATGAATTACTAACTATGTTTTTAAAACGTTTTATGTTTAATACACCAACATACCAATCCTAGCTCTGATTTACTCTTCCACAATCCATCCAATGCTTTTACTGCTGCTTCCACAAACCTTTTGTCACCTGTCAAGGCACTTAATGTTCCAAACTCTATGATGAAGGTACCACACCCTGCTGTACAGGTCACCGAGGTCTCTCCCTCAGGTACTCCATAAAGAAGGTTTATCGTTCCATATGGCATGCCGGTTGGAGTTTCAAATGCTGGAGAAAATATTTGTAATTGAAGGTTTTTACACAAGAAAGACCCAACATGCTATAAAATTCCAATTTCAATAATTGTGATTATCATATCATTTCCAGAGTTAGATTATCCCTGGTGTTGTTTCAGGATTTGATAAATATGTCCCATGTTTGACTCCTGATTATATTATATACACAGGAAGCACGGGTGGCGTAGCAGTGAGAGCGTGCACCTCTCACTAATGCGACCCGGGTTTGAGTCCTGCTGAGCTTGGTTTTGTATGTGAGTAGAGTTGTTTGTTGGTTCTCTCCTGTGCTTCGAGGGTTATCYGGGTTCTCTAATTTTCTTTCCTCTGCAAAAATCAACTTCTAAATTCCAATTGGAATTACAATGGATGAAGAGCCACTTTGTGGAAATACCACTGCTAAATCCTATTTATTTATTTATTAAGTAGAATTACCTGGGAGAAGTTTCTCGGCAGCCTTGGTTGCTAGTCTCAGTAATGGACCCTGACATGGCCAGGCTTCATCTACAGCCACTCCTGCTCTTTTAGCCAAGAGATGTGCTGATAATAATCCACCAACAACTGAAAATGGGGAATATAACATACAAATGAATCACCTCAGGCTCAGTCATCATGGTGAATATTTGCTTTGCCGCTCAAAGACATGCCGCTTGGTAATATTCACACCAATAACCGCTTGACCTTTGCTGAAAAATTGGTAAATTTGTAGTTCCAGAACCACAACCTACATAGAGAAGGAAATTGGAAATTCTGGAGGGGAGGGAGGTCAGAGAAAGTACAAAATTATAGATTTTATRTGGAAGAAAATTGAAATTTCCTGGGGGTAGGGGGTCCTCTCACAAATTTCCTGCATRGCGGGGGTATGGATATTTTCTGGGTACTACATAATATTACTACAATATATTATATGATCAACCCAGAGGTTGTTAAAAGATGAAGGCATTAACATAAGCCTGACTGCCCCTAACAAACTAACAATCTAGTTATAACAGCACTACTACTTACCCCTGATATTTGTTTCAAATACAGAGACATTGATATCCTGATCAAAGGATAGTGATTCTTCCAATAACAAAGACACTCTCTGAAACTCACTCACATTGCCCATAATCTATAATTATACAATAAGAAGCAATATCGTCTTTGATGCACATATTGGTAACAGCAAAAGTTGGTTTAGGAAGCAGGCAATGGGTGGCATAGTGGTGAGAACTCCTGCCTATCACCAAGGCGACCCGGGCTCGATTCGGCAAACTCGATGTCATATGTGAGTTGATTTTGTTGATGATTCTCTCCATTGCTTTGAGGGTTTTTCTCCAGGCTTCTGCTTTTCCCTCTGCAAAAATCCACTTCTAAATTTCAACTGGATCATTAAAACATTCACTTACTAATAATGTGTCCAAGGAATCAACCAATGTCAGTGAATAGCTGTAATGAAGAAAAAAGTTCCTTTCTTAGAGTGGTTTTCATAAACTCATGAATTATATTCTATAACCCTCCCTGTAACAAGGCTTTTACACTAATTTTGAATATACATACAGCTATTTCCAAAAAGGTTGGTGAGGATTTTGTCACATGTTGAAATTACCAAGCCCGAATTGCACTAGATAGAAAATGTGAATTCAATCCACAAAAGGTCACAACAATATGGAATTTTCCCATCCTTTCCCCCAAATTCTTCTACTTCTGCTTCTTCTGCTGATATTACTTACATATGATAGATAAGGTGGTAAGCCGTGTGGGATGGGCTCGGAAATCATATAAGAACATGCGTAATAGGTGAATTATGAGCCTTGCATGAAAGGACTGAAGAAGAGGGCCAATGGGCCTTTCAAAAATTCAAGTCACATTATTTGTGRGATTCTACCAGCTCACTAGATACACTGTGCTGTTGAGGCCCAATACAGGCCGAAACAGCTGTCCACTTGAAGTTATGAGAGGTCCATTGGCCCATTTCTTCAGTCGTTTCATAGGCTCGTAATTTACCTATTACGCATGTTTATATATAGATATAATACATTTCAAGCTTAGTAAGCACCATGCAAGATGCCAGATACAGCTTGCAACGTGCAACAAAACCATTTAATACCAACCTCTTTTGAAATAGCTGTATATTTTCCACTCATATGAAAGCCAAATAATACTGCATTGAGTTAACAGTTTTATTTGTCAACTCACCTTCCCCACGTATCCTGTCCAGTGCACGACAGTGGCTTTAATTCATCATAAGGATATGCATATTTCAAATAGTTATCATAACCATGATAAAACATTGCTTTTGTCTTCTCCCTGATAATTATTCAATATAAAAGGACCATGCGTTACTTCTCTTTTTATATCTTACTAATTTTAGTTTTGGAAGTAAAAGCTCAACATAACACAGTCACAGTCACAATTTCAGGATATTTTCATAGGTGGCTATTACTGAGAGATCAGTACAGCGTACATAACTTCTGTGAGGGGATGGGAAGGGAAGTCTCGAGGTAATTGCTGTGCTAGGGATCTTCATGTCTC